TTCTATAGAACTATCTAGGACAACTACCATATCTACTACAATCTAGAACTCTCTACACCAGTGTAGTACATGGTGGGCTTCTCCAGGATAATCTAGGACGTTCCAGACCCATCTAGACTCTGCTAGACACTCCAAGGTTCTTCCACATTCTGGAATCTTCCAGGCCACTCCGGACCCTTCTACCACGTTCTAGAGTCTTCCAGCATACTCTTGGTTGGTCTTCCACATTCCGGAACCTTCCAACGCCTTCAGCATACCGCCCACGCTGCTCCTTGTGTCACATAAATTGTCGGGGCGTGACACAAGGCAGCCCAGCAAAAGCTAGCAGCATGCCATGCCAAGGCCGAGGCCAGCAGCATGCCATGCCACGGCCAACGCAGCCCAGCCAAAGCCAGCAGCATGCCACGCCAAGGCCAAGGCCAGCAGCAAGCCATGCCCCGGCCAAGGCAGCCCAACCAAAGCCAGCAGCATGCCATGCAAAGGTCAAGGCTAGTAACATGCCAAGTCACGGCCAAGGCAGCCTAGCCAAAGCCAGCAGCATGCCACGCCAAGGCCAAGGCCAGCAGCATGCGATGCCACGGGCAAGGCATTCCAGCCAAAGCCAGCAGCATGCCATGCCGAGGGCAAGGCTACCAGCATGCCATGCCAAGGCCAAGGCAGCCCAGCCAAAGCCAGCAGCATGCCATGCCCAGGCCAAGGCCAACAGCATGCCATTCCACGGCCAAGGCAGCCCAGGCAAAGCCAGCAGCATGCCATGCCAAGGCCAAGGCAGCCCAGCCAAAGCCAGCAGCATGCCATGCCCAGGCCAAGGCCCGCAGCATGCCATGCCAAGGCCCGCAGCATGCCATGCCATGGCCAAGGCAGCCCGCCAAAGCCAGCAGCATGCCATGCCAAGGCCAAGGCAGCCCAGCCAAAGCCAGCAGCATGCCATGCCAAGGCCAAGGCCAGCAGCCTGCCATACCACGACCAAGGTAGCCTAGCCAAAGCCAGCAGCATGCCATGCCAAGGCCAAGGCCAGCACCATGCCATGCCCAGGCCAAGGCAGCCAAGCCAAAGCCAGCAGCATGCCATGCTAAGGCCAAGGCCAGCAGCATGCCATGCCACGGCCAAGGCAGCCAAGCCAAAGCCAGCAGCATGCCATGCCCAAGCCAATGCCAGCAGCATGCCAGACCTGGCAAAGGCAGCCCTGCCAAAGCCAGCAGCGTGCCACGCCAAGGCCAAGGCCTGCGGCATGGCATGCCGCGGCCAAGGCAGCCCAGCCTAAGCCAGCAGCATGCCATGCTAAGGCCAAGCCCAGCATCATGCCATGCCAAGGCCAAGGCAACCCAGCCAAAGCCAGCAGCATGCCATGCCAAGGCCAAGGCCAGCAGCATGCCATGCCAAGGCCAATGCAGCCTAGGCAAAGCCAACAGCATACCATGCCAAGGCCAAGGCCAGCAGCATGACATGGCATGGCCAAGGCAGCCCAGCCAAAGCCAGCAGCATGCCATGCCAAGGCCAAGGCCAACAGCACGCCAAGCCACGGCCAAGGGAGCTCTGCCAAAGCCAGCAGCATGCCATGCCAGGGCCAAGGCCAGCAACATGCCATGCCACGGCCAAGGCAGCCCAGCCAAAGCCAGCTGCATGCCATGCCAAGGCCAAGGCCAGCAGCATGCCATGCCATGGCCAGGGCAGCCCAGCCAAAGCCAAGAGCATGCCATGCCAAGGCCAAGGCCAGCAGCACGGCATGCCAAGGCGAAGGCAGCCCAGCCAAAGCCAGCAGCATGCCATGCCAAGGCCAAGGCCAGCAGCATGCCATGCCCCGGCCAAGGCAGCCGAGCCAAAGCCAATAGCATGTCATGCCAAGGCCAAGGCCAGCAGCATGCCATGCCACGGCCAAGGTAGCCCAGCCAAAGCCAGCTGCATGCCATGCCCAGGCCAAGGGTAGCAGCATGCCATGCCACGGCCAAGGCAACCTAGCCAAAGCCAGCAGCATGCCATGCCAGGGCCAAGGCCTGCAGCATGCCATGCCACGGCCAAGGCAGCCCAGCCAAAGCCAGTAGCATGCCATGCCAAGGCCAAGGTAGCCAAGTGAAATCCAGTAGCATGCCACGCCAAGGCCAAGGCCAACAGCATGCCATGCCACGGCCAATGCAGCCCATCCAAAGCCAGCAGCATGCTATGCCAAGGCCAAGGCCAGCAGCATTCCATGCCAAGGCCAAGGCCGCCCAGCCAAAGCCAACAGCCTGCCATGCCAAGGCCAAGGTCAGCAGCATGCCATGCCACGGCTAAGGCAGCCCAGCCAAAGCCAGCCGCATGCCATGCCAAGGCCAAGGCCAACAGCATGCCATGCCCGGCCAAAGTCAGCAGCGTGCCATGCCGAGGCCAAGGCCAGCAGTAAGGCATGTCGCGGCCAAGGTAGCCCAGCCAAAGCCAGCAGCATGCCATGCCAAGGCCAAGGCCAGCATCATGCCATGCCAAGGCCAAGGCAGCCCAGCCAAAGCCAGCAACATGCGATGCCAAAGCCAAGGCCAGCAGCATGGCATGACATGGCCAAGGCTGTCACGACCCGAACCCACCCCTCTGGGTTAAGGCCATAACCGGCCAGTAATCACGAGATTACCTACGGCCTCAAACCAAATAAGACAAAACTCATCAGAGTGAAAGGGGCTAAACGGAAGCAATTTTAAAACTTTGTCCATAGAGCCATGCTTATATGCACATCATAACATTCCAGACATACATATGTTAATAACCCACAACAGAAAGTGTAGTAACATAAGTACTGTACAAACAGGATCATTCAAATCTAAGTCAGCCAAGCAAAACTACATACAGACGTACTCAAAACTTCGCCAACCTGACAAAATGTAAATACATAACAAAAGGGCGAAAGCGGGTCTCATGCGTGAGACACAAGGGCTGACCCTCTCAAAACCTTAGTTGTTCCATACAGACTTCACTGAGGCTGGGTCTGGACTTCTCTTGGCTCACCTACAAACACATGAATGAGCGTGAGCGAACGCCCAATGAATAATATCAAATCAAATACAGAAGTTACATAACAATGTAGAACAACATGTTCCAAACGGCCTTGGGCCCAATTCATATTTCTATTTAACAGATATGTATAACTATTCGAAATTCAAATCAAGTGACTGTAGTTCCAAACATTTTGGCCTTTGGCCCATTCAGACTTTCATTTATGTCAAAACGGCCTTCGGCCCATTCATTTCTGCCAAAACGGCCATCGGCCCATTCATTTCTATCAAAACGGCCTTCGGCCCATACGTTCGTGTCAAAATGGCCTTCGGCCCACTCATTAATGCCAAAACGACCTTAGGTCCATTCATATATGTCAAAATGACCTTCAGTCCACTCATTTCTCTCAAAACGACCTTCGGTCCACTCATTTCTGTCAAAACGACCTTCGGTCCATTCATTTCTGTCAAAATGACCTTCGGTTTGTTCATATATGTCAAAACGACCTTCGGTCCATTCGTATAGGTCAAAACGACCTTCGATCCGTTCATATATGTCAAAACGACCTTCGGTCCATCCATATAGGTCAAAACGACCTTCGGTCTGTTTATTTTTATCAAAACGACCTTTAGTCCATTTATGTTTATCGAAACGACCTTCAGTCCATTTATGTTTATCAAAACGACCTTTGGTCCATTTATGTTTATCGAAACGACCTTTGGTCCGTTTATGTTTATCAAAACAACCTTTGGTCTATTTATGTTTATCAAAACGACCTTTGGTGCATTTATGTTTATTCCAGTCAGACTTTTGTCCACGATCTCAATTAGCAACTCATAAAGCTTATAAGGAAATAATAATTGGACATTCACAATCATTCAAATATCGATATTACTCATAGTGATCGGCTTGTGGATTTGCCCTGGAGGTTGACCCTACACATTTCATGAACACAAAAGGGTCACTAACAGTTCAATCCGTTCTTTGATTCACATATTCCTCTTTAGGCTTTATTCTTATCTCATTAACTCATTCACAATGCGTAACATATGCCTAAGAGTGCTTACAAGTGAAAGAGAACGGAAAACAAAACACAGAACAAGCATACAAAATTTCAAAGAACAGGGTCCCCGCTCGAGCGTCAACTTACCCGCTCGAGCGGACCCTTAAGGGCTGCAAAAGTACTAGTTGCATCAAAAATACACTCGAGCGTTAAATAGGGCGCTCGAGCGGAAGGCCTCTCAAAATAGCTCCCCCGCTTGAGCGTGAATTACCCCGCTCGAGCGGACATGAAGTCTGGAAAAAGTACTGGGAGCACGCATTTCCCGCTCGAGCGGCATGTTCCCCGCCCCTGTCAAAATACCTCCCCCGCTTGAGCGTGAATTACCCCGCTCGAGCAGACATGAAGTCTGCAAAAAGTACTGGGAGCACGCATTTCCCGCTCGAGCGGCATGTTCCCCGCTCGAGCGGACCTCAAATTTCTGGAAAACCCAGAATTGTGTTCTTGAGCTTCACTTCGACTATCAACCAACAATTTATGCATGTTATGGCCCAAATTACTCATAGACATGTACTAACACGGTACAAGCATAATTTACAACATATTGAAGCTCAATTTCATAATTTATTTGCATGCATGTCCCAAAATATCACAACCTCAACACCAACATGCTCAAATTCAAACATTTAGGACTTATACTCCCCTGATTTGTACATGCATGCCCTCTTGACTTCACATTCACTTCAAATAATGTAATTAGTGCTCATTCCCATAAAATGGAGAACAAGAAAAAACCGCCACCTAAAAGGAATCAAAGCGGGCTGCCAAAATTAAAATAAAGAAAATCAATACATAGAAGGAAACCCCTAAAGATATGTGCATAAGCCGCATACATACGAATGAGGCCCATGAACACATCCAACCGAGAGCCCAAAACTGAAGCGAAAAATAGTCCATACAGACGACACAACCAAAAGCAACACTGTACTGATAACCTGGCACATCCCGCACGGGTAGGCAAAAAGAACAACCATCGCATCTATACTGCCTAACATCCAAACACAGAAATTCGAAACAGAAAAATAACTTACTGAAAGACAAGTGTCCACAAAGGCGCTACAAGCAGCCATCAACACAGAACAGTACCATCTGCCACGCAATCTGCCACACGTCTGATTGTTAACAAACCAGCAACTCCAACAGAACTTCATCATTGTAGCGAACCCAAAATCTGAAAAGCCAAGATCTTTTGAAACAACAGGTCTACAGTCCCCAAAATCTGGACACCGCTGCCAACCCATACAATCCAGGACCTGCTCATACATTGTAGTAGACCCTGTAAGAACAGCCATGAATAAGTACCTCCAGCAAATAAGATACCATCTGCTATGAATTAAATCAGTAACAGTGCCCTCAATATAGGATCTCACACCACTCGACCCACAATTTAGAGACTCACACCACTCGACTTGAGCTTCCTTACCCTGCAAATAAAGAATTATAATATATATTAACATAAACAAATATGGTGGCTGACAACACTCAACCCTCATGTAAAGTGACAATTTAACTTCTCTCATCACTCAACCCTCAAAGATATGCATGCATCCACAGTGAACTCTGAACAGACCTGCACAAAACCAAACCATTACGCAAAACACACAGTGTTGCTCACCTACACTCAACCCACATATATGGAACTCACATCACTCAGCAGCCCTCCCATATCTGATAATATGGGGCTTCAATATCGTTGTTGGCAGGTTCCATTGGGCAAGAAACCAGCTGTCACTAGCAGAGTTAGGCAAATTCTTAATGGATAGCATTCTACTTCTCACCATCTGGATTACAGATTTAATAACCACCTCTTCAGGCTTACATTCTTTGTTAAAAACACGATTATTTCTCTCAATCCAGATGTGGTAGATAGAGCACAAGAAAGCATTGCTAAGAATATTAGCCCTAAGAGAATTACCCTTGGTTTCTTTTGTAGCATATGTAACAATATCAGGCCAATCCAAAACAGGCCACTTCATGTTACATTTGCCTTCAATAGCACCCCAAACTCTATTAGTAAAACTACACTTAAAAAAGAGATGAGAATGACTCTCTCCAGGGTCAAGGCAAAAAGGACACTGTGAATGAGGAGATAAACCAAACAGCATTAGCCTATCTCCAGTGTATAACCTGTTATGGATAGCAACCCAGACAATAAAACTAACTTTAGGAATCCTATGAGGGCCCCAAAGGAGTTTATGCCAGCCCACTCTATCAAAACTACGTCTCCAGTGATTCCAAGCTGAGTGAATGGAGAACTTACCATCCGTAGTGAGTTTCCAGGTAACTTGGTCACACTTAGAAGGGTTAGGTTTGCAGCATTCGGGAGTAGATGAGATCAACTCCTGAATTTCCCAAGAATTAGGGATAGGCCACTTCCAAGAATGACCACTGATGATTTGACTGACTTTGGTCTCACTGTTGAGGCAGGAATCATACAAAATCCTGTCCCCAAACTTTTTCCATAGAGGACCAAGAGGATGCCAATTGTCATACCAAAGGAATGTAGAATCACCACAACCAACTTGGTGGTTAATTAGAGGAGACAACCAGTCTCTAAGAGACAATAACTTCCTCCAAACCCAGGAAGGGTCAGGGGGAATTTTGACCCTCCAAAAGCTTTTACCCTTGAGTAAATAGGATTTAACCCACTGGCACCACATAGACTTCTCGCCACCAGAGAAGAGGAACCAGACATGCTTAGCTATAGCAGCTCTATTCCAGATACCAAGAGATTTAAACCCAAGACCCCCCTCATTTTTAGGAACACACACAGAATCCCAGGCAATCATAGCACTATGGGTTTTGAGCTCACTGCCAGACCAAAGGAAAGCTCTAAGAATACTTTCAATCTCCCTAATGACCTTCTTAGGGAGAATAAACAAGGAAGACCAGTTAACTTGCATAGAAAAAAGGATGGATTGGATGAGCTGGCTCCTCCCCGCATAAGACAAGACTCTGTTAGTCCAATTCTTAACTCTTTTGGTGATTCGGTCAATGAGAGGAGCACAATCCGTGGCCCTCAATTTGGTTGTGAGAAGGGGAACTCCAAGATATTTAACCGGGAGAGTGCCCTCTTTGAATTTTGCAATGTCAAGGATAGAGGTGCGCAACCCCATCTCACAACCAGAAAAGTAGATATTACTCTTGCTAGGATTAGGGGTAAGGCCCGAAAGGTTAGAAAACTCCTCAAGGCCTTCCATAATAAGTTTAACAGTAGGTACATCACCTTTGCTAAAAATCATGAGATCGTCAGCAAAACAAAGATTTATAATCTTAGTCTTCTCACATCTCCAATGGAACTTAAACATAGGATGCATAGACTTCTCAGCCAAAATTTTAGCAAGAATTTCCATAGCTAGAACAAATAAATAGGGGATTACACTACCAATCTTTCATAATTTCACAAATTACATGCTAGATTTGTGATTCCATGGGAGTTCATTACATGCATGCACATATCAAGCCTCAATTTCAACAAAATGATCTCAAATCATGCTCCTGATCACAAACAATGCTTGAACACACAAGATTACACATTAAACTCATGAATTCAAGAATCAATGCTTACCTAGAGGCTCAATCTTCACAATTATGGCCAAGTCTTGCACCTAGCCTTCCCAATTCACAATTTACAAGCCAAAATACACCAAGATGCCTCCTTTCCCTCTCAAGGTCGGCTCTCTCTCTCTCTCTCTCTCTCTATTCCAAGACACAAAATATGGTTTTGAGCTCAAACGTACAAATTGAGTGTATATGGCCTCTCACATAAAGTCCCACTAACCATTACTTAAAATTATTAAATAATTGGGCACTAAATTCATCAATTTAATCGATTTAATCTGACCCGAATCAATTTTCAATTAAATTTCACCGTAGGCTCTAAAAATTATGCCAATCACAATGGCGTAATCAATTTCGGGTTCTGTGGCCGATAGGGCCCTCAGTTTAATTTCCAAAATAGATTATTCATCAGATATTCCCACGGTGAACAGATTGAACTTTAAAATCACATATTTTCATGTAATGGAACACAAAATCATATCAAAACACATAATGACATCATATTAAGGACCAATTAACATATTACGGAACAGGGGTAGTACAGTCTTCCCCCCTTTAGAAAGTTTGGTCCTCCAAACTTATTTTTCCTTTAGTCAGGCACAATTCGGAACACTTTTCATTCAATGGTTCCAATCCTTTTCGATAGCCACTTACGTAGCCCCAAAGTCAAACAAAACTGAGTCCTCAACCAGTCAGAGACTTATCTTTTCTTCCATACAAAGCTTGTATGGTGCCATATTGAAACTAGAGCGTAAGCTTTTGTTGTAAGCAGAGTCTGCCAACAATGGACAGATTTTTCTGACTTCTCGAAGATCTAAAGTACACATTCGGAGCATTTCTCCCAGAGTCTAAATAGTTCCTTCTGACTATACATCAATTTATGGATGGAAAGTAGTGCTGAATCCCAATTCAGTTCTCATTGCCTCTTGAAGGCTTGTCAAAATTCAAATACATTTTAGAATTTCTGTCTAAAACAATAGATACTGGGACCTCATGCAACGAGCAATCTTATTGGTATAACAGTGACTAGTCTACAAGCATCTTACGAAAATTTCACAGGGAGGAGACAGGCAACTTAGTAATCCCATATTCAAAAACTCAAACGGGACTTATACCTTGGGTGCCCAACGTAGCCCCACAACAAAATTCGTAGCCACATATTCCCATTTCCATTCCCAAAATAAAGAGATTGAAGTAGTTCCACCACTATCTGGTATTCGGCTTCGACCTGTTGGCCCCAAAAAAATACTTAGATACACATTCACCAGTTACCCTCTTCAAAGCAAGTCACTAACATAGTTATTTCAAATGTCAGCCAACTTGTCACAGAAGTTCGGTCTATTCCCTTGTTATAAAAGTTCAATTCATTCTTCAATAGTTCCACAATTCACAATCCGATTCGGTATTTAGTCCAGTGACTCATCCAAATTATCGAAGGTCAATCAAAAGTCTTCGGAAATTCAAAGTGGGTCCAGACACTGATTCCCTAACCAACAAAGGTAGTATCGAGGCAATTACCCATACAACGCATATAGTCCGTATATCCCCATAGTACCAATTGTAAAATACAACAGCACTGAGGCAATCGACTTCTAATAGAATACACGTATTCTCAGTTCATTCAACAGTTTACAGTTTGCAATGCACAATTCAGTTCAGTATTCAATTCTCTGTTCCATCGTGTCTTTCTACTTTATCTAATAGTCGTTAAAAGCATAAGGCGATTCATATACGTAAATCCCTATGATGTCAAAGGCAGTATCAAAGGAGTCAATCGCATGTCAAACACAATTCACACATTCTCAGGGTTCCAATCACAGAATATAATAACACTGGTGGTTATATACAAAGCGTACTGAATTCACGTACTTTTCGGACAATCAGGGTTTTTCAAAGTTTCTTGGATGTTAAAACATTTACATAATACCAAAGGATGACATTCCGAACAAAACAAAGGAATAACCGTCTCGCAATCGAAGCACACCCGTTCGCGACCGTCGGTGGCCGATTCCAGATCGATTAGTCAAACCCACCCGTACGAAACCGTCGGTGGCAAAAGGTATCTCAATCAAAGGTGCTACATAGGCTTAACGTCCCCTAGCATGAAAGGACACTCTAAGAATGTCATCAAAGCAACACATCACCATTCACTATAACCTGATTTCCCCAAAATCTGGTAACACTGAAGCAATCACTCTCCCTTACAAAACATGTTCTGATCAGTCAAAGACAAATGTTCAGTACTGCTCAAAATCAAATCAATCTACTGTCATCGGTTCCCATAGCGTCAAACAAACAAAATGGAACAACGCTCCTTACGACACCCAATCACGGGGTTTGTACAATTCGGTTCCTTTTTAACACATATGTCCTCAATAGTTGGAGATTGGTTCTCAACAGTGTTGATAGTTAGATCGATCTATTGACAGCCCACAAAAGGTCTTTCAAATAAGTCAAGTATTCCAAACGAATTCAAGTTTTGGGTCTAACAGTTTTTCCGCCAAGAACAATCTGGCTATTTATCCATAAACAATTCTTAATCCCCTGTTTAACAAAATTGAATTAGATAGAGGGTCTTATCAAGCCAATCTCAACACAGGTCTTGCCAAATTAAATCAAACAAAGGTTCTATCAGATTATATCAAATGAGGGTTCCATCGGAACAATATCAGGTAAAGGTTCTATCGGGTCGAATCAGATAAAAATTTTCTCAAATAGGGTACATTCGGTTCTGTAAGGCATACTTCGCTTGCTTAGGTACATGGTTGATAGTTTCCCAACTGCCCTAAGTTCATCAGTTCTCAAAGTCATATCAGAATTATTCATCACAACTGTTCATATCAAAGCATAGTATAATCACATAATCCAGTCAATTTTCTACCAATCAAAATGCATGGTCTCGTAACTAGCAGAGTTTATTATTTGGGGTGCTCAACTCAATTATACAATCACAAAGTCACAATTCCAGTGGTTTAGTCATTGAAGACAGTAACATAGCAAATCAACCGGAGCATAGGTTTAGATATACATGTGCATGTGCAGAGTTAATCAATATCCCAAAACGTATTTCACAAATTTCCCAAACAGGGCATATATCTCTAATGAACACGGTCTCGATCATGTAGGTCTAACCAATCCAGGTACACATACAACAGATATGGAAAAATATGCTGATCCGAATCAAATAATATCCCAAGCAAAGATGTACAAACGTACTAATTCAGAATCAATCAACACATAGGCATTTGTTTATAAACAGTATAGATACTTGGGATAACGGTTGCAGTATTCTGAGTGCTTTCTGGGACGAGTACAATTACTCTATCTTGATTAGCAATTCCCACCATTGGTACAAATTCAACTGAGGTAGCAGATTTACTCGCACTTGTTCAGTTCGGGGACAATTTCTTACCATATGGTCCATTTACCACACCTATGACAAGCCCCCGAAATCTGACAACGACTCTTCGGCGTTTCTTACACTGGTGGTGGCAGACGTTCTTACCATAACAGCAACTGACATTGTTGTCTTAAGATCTCTGCCATTTCTTGTACCATTCTTTCCAGTCTATCAGGTCGGGCTGTAAAAGAGTCTGCCAACTCCTATGCCCTTACTTTAACCACGTTCTACACGAACTCTTGTTAAATCATGCCAAATACGGGGATGTCCAATACAAAAATAAACACATAGTCACACATAGGCACGTTTTTATATTCTCATTTCACATATCGTACGTAATTAATCACATACGTGACAAATAATTGCATACTTATCAGATATGGCATGCTGAACATTTACTAAGTAATTATTTACTCAAATCATGTTCATGTTTCACATAGACACCCATAGGCAGAATCGAATGCACATAAACAACTTTTCATGACTCATATATTCATGTATGTGCATTATAACAAAACAAACTTGTTGTACACATTAGTGTAACAATTCATATCTCATATTCAAATCATGTGTGGTACTTCCTTTAGCATAGCATATCAAGTTGGTCAAGCATATCAAGTTCCATAATGGAACCTCCGGTACTGAGCAACAGATCTCATACATAGGCCACGGTATTGTTTCCCCCGGGCGAGGGCCTCATGACCATAAGCCACAATATTATGTCCCCTGGGCGAGGGCCTCTGCTAAGGATACCACAATTACGTTCCAGGAAAATTTGGACAATCATTCATACAAAACATAGCATTCCAGGATACTTGTCATTTCATATCACCAACAAATATTTAAAGTTAAACATTACTTTACGGAGTTCTTACTCACCATCAGATTAAACTTGCATTATACAATATACAAAAGATTCTACAAATACGCATATACTAGAGAGCATATGTAGTCAAACAATTGGCAATGCAAATACAGCACAACTTATAGTAGATAATTGCCCAAATCAAAACACTTAAGCATATTCTCGATGCTTTCGAATTCATACTTATCACATGAATGCATCCTTGATCTTTTCTAGATGCTCATTGCTCTTTTGGACAAGTACGTGAGTCATTAACTCGTGCTCTGATACCACTCTGTCATGACCCGAACCCGCCCCTCTGGGTTAAGGCCATAACCGGCCAGTAATCACGAGATTACCTACGGCCTCAAACCAAATAAGACAAAACTCATCAGAGTGAAAGGGGCTAAACGGAAGCAATTTTAAAACTTTGTCCATAGAGCCGTGCTTATATGCACATCATAACATTCCAGACATACATATGTTAATAACCCACAACAGAAAGTGTAGTAACATAAGTACTACACAGACAGGATCATTCAAATCTA